ATTCACTTCAGAGTCACCAAGGCGAATATGGGTATGTATGTTTCCACATCATTCTCTTAAAAATGGGATGAGTAAACAAATGCTCATGCCCCCTGAAGAAAAATTACCATCCTGGTCATGTTGGTGCTCTGTGACTCTGGGTGTTTATAATGTCAGGACTCAAACAGTGAGGGACAGAGAGTGCTCCCGACAGTCAGTCGGAGGTATGGTCAGCCCTGTTCTCAACCATCTTCACCCACAGCAGGAGATACTGTGAAGAAGGATTTAATCTGCTTCTGCCAGCAGAGGGCAGTGAACGCATATCGGTTCACTGCAATTGGAAAGGCTTCCTTTGGTTTCTTTGGCAAGTGTGTTAAAATTCCTCGAGTGGTTTATGTTTAGAATTAGCAGTACTGATAGGACAGGAAATTGGCTGGGTGGGACAGTGGTTAAATGGGTTCTGTCTAAAGGTTTTGATGTGAAATATGTGCTACCATAATGTTGCTGTTCAGTGAGGAATGTCCTCTAAACGTCAAACTCCATTTTGAAGGCCTCTCTGGTCTACTATGTGGGATGTTAACTCTTTAACCATTGTTTGGTTGTAATTTCTACTCAAATAAGAGAGAGAGAGAGAGAGAGCAAGAGAGCGCAGAAGTGTGGTGGAAGAGCACGAGTTTTGAAGTCTGATCTAGGCTACAGTTCTGCCAGTGCCACTTACGAGTTGGGTGACCTGGCAGATTACTTAAACTCCTTCAGCCTCCCTTTCCTTATCTGCAAAGTTCAGACAGTCATGGGCTGCGAAAAAGAGGCAGAAAATTTATAATAGACTTATCGAAAACACATAGTTGTACATATTTATTAGCTGCTTTCTTGAATCAGAACTTGTGTATTTCTTGCTGTATTTACAATTGCTGCTTGTCTTACAAGATTAAGTGATGGGTCTGGAAGCTGTGCGTGTCCATTGTGTGGCATAGATTTCCCTACTCGTAATTAAGAAACTCTTAATTTCTTGTTACAAAAAGATGATAAACAATAGACTGTACAGTCAACAACCTAATATTTTATTAATATCTCTTTAATTACTACAATGCTCCAAAATTTAGCCAGGTGTTATGAAATTTGAGAAAGGTGGTCTATAATCTTTCAGTGCCAGAGTTTTCTTGCTTGGCATTTCCTAATTCTTTCTGTGTTTCTATTTTCTGTGAAGTGTTTCTTGCTTACTAAAAACTAGTAGAACTCAGGGTCTATGACACATAGATCTACTGGTAGACAGAATTGGAAGTGTCGGGAAAACCAGAAGCCAAACGCTGGGACTGGGACAAGTTTGAGTCACCGCAGGATGTCAGGGGCTGTGTTTGTCGAGGATGCTCTCATCCTTTTAAGTGAGCACTTTGGCCTTCAAGATATTGATTTGGAAAAACTTCTGCAGATAGTTGTGCTTGAGATGGGCAGGGAATGCAAATGGAGAGGAGGCATGAAAAGGTGGTGAAAAATATGTAGAGTTGATATCATCATCTCAAGTGTGAGCCCTAGAAACTGAACTAAAGATAGGATGAAAGAAAAAGAAAAAAGAAGTTAGCTGTTTTCTGCAGCATTGAGGTAATATAAATTCTGCATGTTGCAAGCAGTATATTTCATGCAGACCAAGGTACATGTGAAATGTGTGTTGCTCGTAGGCATGTGATACTGACCTGTGTGGTATATATGTGGTAATATGTGTTAGCCCATAGATACACTGACTGTTCCATGGGGACATTTTATGAGCCATGACTTTTCCATTTCGATGAAAATAATAGCCAGAGCCCTCGGAGTGTCTGGCTGCCCCTGAAGCAGGACTTTCGCTGCCCAGTAACAGAATGGCTCTGTCCACATCCCGGGCCACAGGCACAAGGGATTTGGAGCTTTGGGTTTCTCTAGGAGCTTGTGTGGTGAATGTCTCATTTCACAGTCAGGGGAACACAGTCTTACAGGAGGAAGCGTTCCAACATAGGCCTGAAGTGCACGCCTCATGCTGTTTTCTCTGCTCCCTGAGAGGTACAGAAAAGAGGGTCTCCCCCAGAGGTGGCATTTCTAAGGTTGATATTCTTTCTCACTTTCCCACTAGTGTGTTTTTCTCTGCCACCAGATCCCTGTAGAACTCAACCCACAGTTTATTAGGGGCTTATTTTGCTTTTACTTTATTCTGAGGAAATCTTGAGGTCTGAGCTGTTCACGGAATGTCAGATAGGTAGTACATGTTTTCTAGATGGCCATTAATTAGTGTGTATCATTACTTTTGGTTTTCTAGGCTGCGTCTGTTCATTTCATGCCCCTGACTCTAATCTGTATAATTCTCTGTGCTTTATGACCAGTTTGCCCTGTTTATGTCCTCTGGTCAAGACAAGCTGTTTCGTGAGCTTCTCTTTCCCACTGTGTGGTGGCCTTTGTGCCGTGCTCCCACCAGTGAGCTGCACGACTTCAGGCAGCTTTGGCTTGCTAGGCGTACAAGCAGCTGAGCCTGAGTCACTCCCCAGCCTGTCCTCAGTCGTCGAGATGGAGATGATTTCGCATGGCCTAGAGGAGTCGCAGGGAGAAGAGGACAGAAGGCAAAGCTGGGGAGAACCTTATTGCCTGACAGCGTGCTGATGCCTCATGTACAGGAGAGGGAAGGGAGAAGACAGTCAGCACACTAATGTGCAGTCGAATCTATGTCCCAAACATTAAGGGAAAGTCTCATGATTAGGGCATGTTGAAACCCATTTGGACGTTAGCCAGAAATGCTGGCATATTAGATTTGCATTTAATAAGTAGAGTTTGGTCTCAGTGTGAAGAGTAGACTATTGAGGAAACCACTGAAGACAGGGCAGCTTGCCATTTGGGTAAAAAACAGGAGAAATGGGGAAGGCTTAAACTACAATACTGGAGTTACGGGAAAGAGGAGACGTGGACTTGAGGTACTTAGGATGCAGAATCTAAGAGTTTCAGACTGACTCGTGTGAGAAGAAAGGGGGCGGGGATTTGACCCAGGATGCGGATTGTGGTAACCAGGTGCAGAACGAGGGGGAGAGCTGTGAGAAGTCAAGTACCAAGAGAGATGTCAGCATCTAAACTTAGCTTTAAATGTAACCAACTAAAGAACATTTTTTCCAGAATTAAGCTAATGTAATTCAGGAATTGGACAAATTTTCTGTGCCCTTCAGACTTGATAACAGCTGACCTTCCCAGGCTGAGTGCTGGAACTCAGTGCCGAGTTCTGTGTTGCTCCTGTCCCTGTTACAGGCCTGGATGGGGATAAGACTGAGTCCTCCTTGGAAGTCACCTGTACCTCTAGGCGTGTGGCATCTTTTAGGCATCCCTGTGCTCCTTCAGTCTCCTCCTGGTATGAACATTTTGTGTTATTGAAATATATCTTCTAGGCACTAGAACTTAGTGACTCACACTTGTGATCCACTTGGTTCCTTTCTGGGTAGGTCTTAGTCCATCACCTGTTTCTTCCCAGACATACTGTTCCTTCTCGAGTTGGGGAAAAAGTTCTTTTGGACAAACTCTTATTATGTTTCAGTCAACAGTGTAGTGTCTAGGGTCAGCTATACCAGTATTCAAAGTCTAGCCCTGTCATTTATCAGCTGTGTTGTCTTGGGCCCGTACTCTTATTAAACAGTTCCTTGTCTGTAAATAGTGGTCATAGTGTGTGAATCCCTGAGAGCTGGTTTGATTGTGTTAGATAGTGCATATAAAGTATTTAGTATAGATTTGGGCCCATGATAAATACCCAGTAAATGCTGCCTTTCATTTGGTACTCTTTAATTGCATACCTGCAAGTTGACCAGATTCTGCAGTCTGCAGTTAGTAACCGTTGGCACGGGTGTGTGTGCTCACAGGGATTTGGAAACTGTGATATACTTGGTGACATGAAATTTTAGTAGCCACCTTTTGTTTTCTGTTTCGTTTTGTTTGTGTTTTTGTTTGTTTGTTTTTGATGAATCAGAAAATCTGGGCATATTTAATAATTTGATTTTTGTGCATTAAAAAATCTGATGGCAAATAGTTTCTTAATAAACAAATCAGCCAACATAATTTTACCTTGGGCATGTCTGGGCTTTTATTAATGTTAACTATGAGGGAAGATTAAGATACGCATGTCATGCAGGAATAAGGAAAAATGTGAAGATATTTGGAGGATTGTTACTTGCCAGATACGTTTGTAGATACCATTTTGCTACTGAAGACAGGATAAAAAGTTAGGCTTCCTGTTTTCTAATTGTGTCTCCACACCTGTTCTCAAAGCACCTTAACCCATGTGCAGTGGAATATAAATTTACAGAAGTACGTGGGAGATGAGATTTTAATTCTACGGTTTGATAGGGCTGGTGACATTGGATGAGAAGCCGACTTTTCATCCCCTGCCTCTCAGTCTTCTAAGCCTGCAAGCACACCACCTCATGCAGGTTGTCAGGTGTCAGTCTGAGCACTAGTGCTTACCTGCCTCTGGGTCTGCCAGTGGGGAGTCGCTTGTATCTTCAGTCACTGTGGTAACTAAGTTGTCAGGTGTACTTTGTTAACTGAATGTACATGCACTCCTGAGCAGTTTGATTTACCTGTATGACATTATCCAAATGCAATAACTTGTTATATGCCTTTGGAATAGAAGCTTCCTTATTTGATCATTCTTGCAGTCATAGATGATGTCAGTTTGTGCTGAACTAGGAATCAGAAGATGCATGTGGTCCTCTCGGCTCGTGCTGCCTGGAACGGTCATCAGGCCTCCCTGGGCCTCTGTGTTCTCAGTAAAAAGTGTTCGTCGTCTCTGTGCAGAGGATTGTGTGGAGCAGATGAGGTGAAGCAGGTGAAAGCACTTCTGACACCCAAGCAAGACACACATATAAAGTGGTGGCTCATTTCTAATTCAGGGAACGAAACAACAATAGAAAAACAAGGATGCTCCAGAGAGTGAGATGCGGCTTAAATGATTGCTTTGGTTGCAGGATAACTAAGGAAATTAACGCAAACATCTTTGTTTTCTGTGTTTTCCAACCAACCAGAACCGGGACCAGTATTCACATCTGCTAAGTGGTCAGTGTCTGTCATACCAAGGTCATAACTCCTTTCGTGAGAGATATTTCAGTGGGCTAACAAAAAGAATTGCCAAGGAAGAAAAATCTATCCAGGAGTGAAAATTAACATTTTGACAGTGGAAAAAGAATAAGGATTTGATAGAAAAGTCATCTGGATATGAACTTTCATGTATGATACAGAAAACACGTACTGTTTTAAATAATTTTATGTAATAAAAATAAATGCTACAAAGTAAATTGAACAACTCTTTTAAAATTAGTTTTGTTTTATAGACTGTTTTGTTGAATGTGGTCTTTTGAACCTTATTTAATTTATATTTGTATTATGGAAATTGGAAGCAGTTATATTTTTGGTAATTAATTTACAAAGGGAACTAATATTGTTGACTTTTTGAACAGCTGTCTACCAAATATAGGCAGTTAATAGTGGTTGAGGATTTATTCATTAGGTAGATTTGTTTAATTTGGTTTTTGATTGTAACTGATTTACAATGCCACTAATAAAACTTGCTGAGGATTCCTAAAACTGTGTAATATTCAGTGCTTTTCAGGGGGAATGTGATGAAGGAAATGAGTTTTTATTTGTAAATGACAGACAATTCATAACAGTGGTAGTGGTGCCGATGAGAAAGGCTTCCCAGCTCCGCGAGGCCCGTCCGCATCTGAAGCTCGTCTGCACTTGGATTCGCTCCTGCATTCCTGAACCTCGACTGCCGGTCAAGTTAACTACCCACAATTTTTGGTTTAGAAAGTAACTGATAGTTAAAAGCAGTAACAACAGCACAAATCCTTGATGGTTTCCTAATGGTATTAAGCCTAATCAGAGCTCTTTGAAATAGAAGCTATATTTTTCTTGAAGGAGAAACTTTGCTGAGTCCACATGGTGTCCATCATGAAAATACCTCGTTTGAAAACCACTACACCCGTTACTGCAGGATGCTAATCGCTTCCCCGCTCTCGGTGGTCAGAGGTACCTCGGCAGGCGGCAGTAAATGAATCCTCTGCCTCTGACCAGAGCCTATTTTTATTTATGTTATTATTATTGTTACGGTGTGACTGCTGGCCTGCGCTGACTCACAGCGGGAGCGTGCCTGGCGTGGGACCTCTGGAGGAGCAGCGCCGCCCAGGCAGGGAGACGGCGCGCAGGCTGCCCACTCAGTTCTGTCTGCTTTTCTTGTCCTGCAGCTCGCGTTCAGCAGCAGCAGATCTCAGACATTTCAGCGATTGTTTTGTTTGGGTTTCTGGATGTGATTTGTGGTACACTGGGGAAAATCTAAAAGTGTTCAAGGGTGATTTATTTTCAGTATTTCTGTTATAAACCATGTTATTTAAAGTTTTTTGAGGTTATATGGGGGGCAAGTGTGAGCTGACTAAATTGGGAAACACTATGGTGATAGTCAGGGCAAGGGGGGTGGAGGTGGGTGCAGGCGGGTGAAGTGGGGGTGAACGGGACGGAAGGAGACTTGACTGTGGGTGGGGAGCGCACGGGGCCTTGTGCAGGTGCTGATGTTCTGTGGGGTGTACCTGGAGCCTGTATGGCTGTACTAGCCAACATCACCCCCAATAAATTCAGTAAGCCAAATAGAGATTGTAGCCTTAGACCATTATTTTGTTGTCACAAAAATTAGTCAAATTAGTTCTGGAAACGTTGCATTATTAGTTGTATGTAGTACCTTTGTCCTTAAAAATTATCTAACATTTAAAAAAACATTTAAAATTCTTTCTTATTACCACTAATTGAGGTCTTCTAATCCTTTATTCTTCAGTATTGTGAGGCTTATTTTCATGTATATCAGTAACTCGGGTTCCCTTTGCTAAAATGCTCAGAGTGTGCATTTGTGTAGTTATTTTAAGGTATTTAAGTTATTTTACTCAATTTTGATTTTAGAGTAGAGGTGTCAGATCTTTAAAAAAGGGAGACTCTATTTTCTGGCTTCAAGACATTATGACTTTCTGCATAAGGTCTAGCAGACCATTTCCAGGATTGCTTCAGTTTTATGTGTATTCTTCTTGCACTTAGTAAAAAATATCACCTAGCAAAATGCCTACACTTTGGATAGTTCTTGTAGTGTGGACTTATGGTATAATCTGTGAGTGAGCCCTAGGTGGTCTGTGGGCTAGCCTATTTCATGTTTATAATATGACAAAATCTATAATTTTCTTTCTGGCATATGTTAAATAGCCATAAACTCCAGACGGTTACCTCGGTTGTGTTTCATCAGAAGCAACCTCCTTACCCGTTCTGGTGGGGACTTCTGCCGTGAGAGCTGGGAGGGATGGGAGAGTAGGTGGTCTTTGGTATGTTTAGCCAAAGTGGCCAGCAGATTTTTACATTTTAGCATCTGCTGCGGATCCTCAGCCACTTCCTGCCCTGAGTGACCCAGGTTTGGGCCAGCTCACCACCAACTTCCTTATGAGTAATTCTTTAAATACAGAGATGGAGCAAGAAAACGTTTTCAAACTGTTTAAATTCTGGGAGGTAAGTCAGTGTTACCACGATTTCCTTCTGGGGAAATCTTGCTTAAAACTTGAGATTCCCTGCATATTAAGACAGAAGAGTGTTACAACTAAGAAAAACCTTATTTCAAGCTTGGTAGGGGGAAGTAGAATTTGTGTGAGTTAACATACCAGATGCATTGTAGTGAATGCGTTTATATTATTGGATGAAAAATGTGCCTTAAAAGTTTTAGACATAGAAATAGCTTTTGAGGTAATATGTTTTATACTCTTATTATAATTAAAAAGAAGCAGGGATTTGACTATTTTTTAACATCAGGAAATTAGATGTTAAGGTTGTATTATCTAGATGCCAATATAAGCAAATCCAGCTCTTAAATCAAAGGCCTTAGTCATTTGGGTTAGAAAAACTGCTGACATCTTATGCTGGAAGTATTATCAACTATTGCCAGTCCAAAGAGATACGGAATAAAACACGGTGTTTATGTATCGAATATTGAAGGTGAATTTTGGGGGGGGGGATAGGGATAATCTTTCTACACTATTTTAATAAATATCCCTTGAAAAAACAATGGAGTTGAGCTAATGTTAATGGTTCTGGTAGAAGAAAAAAATGCTTTGTTGATAAAATAGGATAAACAAATACATTAATGACACATGGAGCAGAAATAGACTTGGGTATTGCTGAGAAAATTGACCTTATTGTTGATTTTTCTGTTTGACCAAAAGGGAATATTATACCAGAATAAGTACCTTGGCTCTTTTTACAAGAGCACAGTTTTGCTCCATTATAAAGTTATTTAGAAAACTAAACACTTGAAGGAATCTTTGTCTTAGAAGGATTGTATTCGTAGGATAAGCGAAAGTCTAATTTCATTTCCAACTCACCCACTCCCATTTCTCTCAGATATTTATCAAGTAATGTGGTTTGTAATCCAAACAAAAAAAAAGTGCCTTAATCCAGAACATACACACAGACACAATAACACCAGACTGATGATGTTTGTACTTTAGTAAAACATTGAGATCTTCTCTAAAACAGCGGTTTGAGAACATAAGGTCTAGAGTGTAAAGAATTGTAATGGAATGATAAACATATCTGTGATTCTATCTAGCCATAGAATCATAGAGACAGCACATTCCTGTCTGTCCTTTGGGCTGAAACAGCCTCCCGGGGAACCTGACCCTGTCCCCTTCAGAGAGGTCTGCCTCAGGATGCTCACATGCTTCACCGCGTGGGATAAGCAAATTGACACTTAGACATAACTGAGGCCAACCTGGAATTTGGCTCTTATCCCTTCCTTCCTAAGCCATGGTAGACAGGCTCTTAGGGGAGTGGAGGCTAAATGGGCAGGGCAGTCTCCGAGGAAGCCAGGCCAAGGAGCAAAATGGGGCTTAGTAGATGAATGTGACGATAAGCCAGCTTCACTCTGTGTGACTGCTAGCCCTGTTTCTTGGGTTATTAGGATGTACTTCGTATATTTTTGGTTGAGAATCCGAGTGTTCTTACTACGGTAGTCATATTGCCATGATGCCAGACTGAATTGCCTAAAAAGGAATCTGCTTTGACCTCTGTGACTTTAAAATCTCTCCTTTAATCAAGCCTTCCCGAGTCTCTCCTGAGGGCTTACTGGGAGAACTCTATTTTGTCTGACATCCAGCAGTGGAGATTAGCTGGGTTTATGTGGGAAGCTAGTCAGATTTTTTAAAAATTGGCTGAAAAAAATTAAAATTGAAAATGTAAATGGCACTTGAGCTAGCCTTTGATGGGCTGCCCAAGTGTTTCATCCAACATGTTACACGTTTGTGAAGTGGATCGGGAAGGTCAGAGCTGGTGCTGGGGACCTCTAGAAGTCTGGAGAAGCCCCTTCACATTCGTTTATTTGATTATAAATAGTGGGTTGGATGTCTCAGCACAAGTCCACAAGTCTGAGTGCTTGCTGCACAAACAGCAGAACCTTTTTTTTTCATCATTTCATTTTTTCCGTGATTTATACTTGTTGATAGAAAATGATCCATAGAAGACTTCCATTTCTGAATGTTTTCCTAAGGAAGCATTGGTTCCCTGTGTCCTAGACTGTTATTGCGGGGGGCGGGTTGTGAAGGCCCTTGGAAGACAGGCATAGTGGCTCCATCTCCTCTGTCCCCTCCCCCTCCTGAAAAGCAGCTACTAGCAGACTACTGGGCTCTGGTCAAAACCGAATGCTTGAGCCACAGAGCCTGATAATGTCATTGTGGAGTGGAGCCAGCAGCCTCGCGACTACTGAACTGGGAAGGGCCCACCAGCCCTACTTCTCAGGTGGGCTTGGTGCACCCAAGGATGCAGCCGGCTCGCCCCAGTGGCATCTTGGATGTATATACAACATGAGAAAGTGGCAGCCATCTGGGGAAAGTTCCACTGCCTGAAACAAAGGCACTGGCTCAACGGTGTCTTTGATGAATAAAGGTTAGTTTCAGGGGGTTTAAGAATACATTTTGGTTGCATTTAGGAGATTTCTCTAAATGGCTGCCGTCCCTTTTGCTGATGGATTGGCTGAACTGAAACTCAGTGGCGGTCACTGGGCCGCTTTGGCTGCCGAGTCCCAGTGCCAGGTACAGAGAACCGACTGGGATGTGGTCGCCTTGCTCAGTAGGCAGAATGCAGCCATTCTCAGAGCTCCAGCCAATACCCTACTTGCTAAGCCTTGTTACATTTTTACTGTTTCTTAGGCTGTTGCTAAGGACTTGTGGTTTTTGCCTGTCACTTGGGAAACTATAGATTTGGCAGGTCAAAGACACCCTTTTCTTTCATGGGGGCTGAAAAGAGTGGACAGAGGTGGCGGCTGAGGACAGAACTGTCCAGGTCATGCTCTGGAGAGACAATCAGAATAAAGCTGTGGGTTGAGCTGGCGCCACCCAGTTGCCGTCGTGGTTGCCTGGGCCCACCGTTGTCCCAGCCGTGGCAGCACACCTGTGGTTACAGGCGCGATGCGAAGCAAAGGATCAAGTTCCTGGTGCAGAGCTACCATCTGGTGCCAGACTTGTGTGTCCTGCCAGAAGTCGACCTGGTTGCCTTGTGGTGAAGGAGACCACAGCCCGTGAAGTGTCCAGCCTGCTCCTGGCAGACAGATGACTTCGGATCCTTGCTCCCGCTCTCGAAGCTCTTGGCTGTGCGTCATCGCGGTTGACGCTTTCTCGGGTTCCAGTGCTGCTGTTCCAGTCCAGCTAGCTGACTCCAGCCACACCATTTTTGGCCCTTGACCCTGATCTGGATCATTTGGTATGACAATGGTATTATACCTTTTATTGCAAAAGCCACTCAGCCGTGGGCCGATAGTCAAGGTATTTGATAGACTTTCCGTGCTCCATACCGTCCACAGGCATCTAGAATTTCTGAGCTTTGGAAATCGTCTCTGCATTTGTTCTTTATTTTCTCTGGCTTTATTTGCCGACCCTTCCCAGAAAGGCTCAGGCCCTTGCTCCGATGTTAGCTCTGAACAGTGCCGGCTTCTGTCTTTTGTCTGACACCTGAGTCTTTTAATTGGTGCATTTCAACTCAGAGATAATGGGTAAGTAATAGCTTGAGTCTTAAGCTGGGCTTATTTTCTGAAACTGAGCACCAATGAAGGTACTGTGACAGTCAGTCCAAAAGGACTCCTGTACCTGGTGTGCTTTATGATTGATGTTGGAGCAGGAAGATCAACATTAGCAGGAGAATCGGTATGTCAGCTCTTACTCTTTAATGAATTTTCTCCTTTACGTTTCCCTCTAGACCCCCCCCCAAATGTTAACTTTTTTTTTCTATTTTACTTTAGTGGTAACTGCTGCCTCATTTTAATGGCAACCGCCGTAAAACAAGCTGCACGTGCTGCTCCACGTGTTCCGTTCTACTTGTTTTAAGGTGGCTGGTGACTGGTTGATGCAAAGGCTTAGAGAGCGCGGTA